CCCAGGCCCACGCGGTCTTCGCGCCTGTCCGTTTGCGGGGCTGGACCTGGGAGGGGGCGCAAAGCGGAGGAGACGGCGGGATCTGGGCTCCAGGCGGCGTCGTGAGGACGAGCAGGGGCGCGGGCTCGGCCGGGGAAGGAAGCGCCGGTGCCGCCCCTCGCTAGAGGACGGCGGGGACGGCCGCCTGCGGGGAGAGGCTGGCGGGCGGAGACCCCGTGACTCGCGAGCGGGGACCTCCAGCTCCTCTCGGGACGGGAAAACGCGCTTTCCTTCTTCGCCGTGAACTCGAGCCGCTGCACGTTGCCCTGGGCTCTGAGGGGCGAGTCACGCCGGGAATGGTGGCGCGTGGACGTCTGTGCCGTCCTCGTCGTGCTTTGGGGGGGATGCTAGGATTTTGCAGCGACAGTTTTCCAGCGCCAGCTTGTAGTTCAGGTGCAGGTATCGCAAAGGCTCGAGGAGAAGCGCCGTCGAGGCAGCCATGGTCGGGTCAGCGGGACGGACGGAAGTCAGTGTATTTTGAGTTGCGGGTGGGGCTCAGTCAGCCACTCAAACACGCGATGTTCCGGGAGCAGCTGAGTGTGTAAAGGGCGAGTGCCACAGAGCTTATGACAGCGAAGAAGACAGGGTTTCTCAGGGTGTTGGTGACATTAGCTTGTGGGTGTGCTTCGATGAGGATCGAGATTATTAGTGGTTTTTACGCAGCTCCCTGGCTCTTGGAGAGCTTCTTGAAACAGCCCAAGTCTTCTGCTGCTTTTCCATTCGTTGTATTTTGTTCTTTAATTGCCGTCAGAGGTGACTTTTTAGTGAATATTAGGTGCCTCGTAAAAAGTCGGTTTTGACAGAGGCGATTTTAGGTTCCTCTGAATAGAAAAAGAAAAGGCTTGGCCTTCATTTTGTCCATCTTTATCTTTTGCGATGCAGTCACTGTGTTTTGAATTGGGGAGTTCTTTGACTGTGACGTATCCAAATAGAGTCCCTAGGGCCAGTCCAGTCTTTTGACTGGCAAGCTGTTTCCCCTACCAGGCAAATTGATGCTGTTGTTGATGTTATCCTTCATTTCAAGGTCACAGTAGGATCGGGAATAGCATGACAGGAGGACTGTGACGAAAGGGAGTACTTGGCAGTTGAGCCTTGATTACCCAGAGCGCTTAATATCTTTTTTGTTGTTATTACTTCTGCATTCTTTTCTCTTTTTCAACAGACTAAAGGGACACACAGAATCAGGGATTTCCTTAAAATTCAAAATGCCTTGGAGTGGGAGTTTTTATGCTAAGTGTATGTTAATTATCTGGATTAACTTAGTTTTTGATAACAATAGTAAATGTATTGAGAAATGACTGACTAAAGTATAACAAGACTCATTTTTATTGTGAAATAGACCTGTCCAAGAGTGTGTACGGTTTCAACAGTTACAGCAAAGTGTGAAACCCCCATGCCCTCACCGTATAAGTAGAGAAGCAGAGCCTTGCCAGACCCTAGAGGCTGCTGCCCTGCTCCCTCAGTTTGCACCTGCTTCTGTCCCCTGGAAGGTAGTCAGTTCCCCGTTCTTGGGATGCCCGTTCCCTGGCCTCTCTGTAGACGTGCCGCCTGTGTGTGCGTGACTGTTTTTTAATGCTGTCACCTGTAGCCGTGCTGTGTCTTCTGTGACTTGCTGCTTTGCCCTCGTGCCCTTGCGTGGAGTTCTGAGTTGTCTGAGGTGAGAGGTGTGGGCATCGTTCTTCCAGTTCCACTGCTTTTGTGTCCGTGTGAGAACATCCTGCAGCTTGTGTGCCCATTCTGCTGCTGATGGACATTATGTGTTTCCATCTTACAGTTGTTAGAAACAGTGCTGCCATGTCGATTCTGTTCGTATCTTGTGGTGCAGTGTGGGGGGGGTCTCAAGGGTGCCGTCCCTAGGCTGGGGATCGCTGGGTCATAGACCATGGGGATGCCAGGGCTGGTATTCTTAGACTTAAATTTTCCCAGCCTGTTGGTTGGGGCAGGATCTTATTGCACTTAAATTTGCATGTCTCCGATTACCAGTGAGTTTTGAGCATCTTCATTTGTTTATTTGCAGTTCAGATTTGCTCTTTTGTAAAGGGTATGCTGAGATCTTATGCCATTTTTCTAGTGGGCTGTTTGTCCTTTTCTTAATATTTGTAGATTTGTTTTCTGGATACTTGTCCTTTCCCATGTGAATTAGAAATAAGTTCATTCTACGTATTTGTGTTCTTTATGGTGCTGTTGGATTGATCTGTCTTTTCTTTATATCTCATGTAAGAAAGTCTTTCCTGTCCTTGTGTCATGAAGATACCCTCCTATCCAAAAGTTTTCTGGTTTCGCCTTAAGCACATGGTGGTTTAATCTACTTGGAAAGAACCTGCCATGTGCGGTATGATGTGGGAGTCCAGCTTCCTTTTCTGCCATTGGGGCGACCCCTTGCTCCAGCCCCATGTTGTTGACCACTTCATTTATTCTTCACTGATCTGAAACACGACCTCTATCGTATATTAAGTTCCTGCACATACTGGGACCCTTCTCTGGACTGCTCTTCTGGTCCATTGATGACTTTGTCTCTGTGTAGATGGAGCAAGGCCCCACTTTCTTTTTCTTTTTCAGTCTTGCCTGAAGTGTCTTGACTACCCTTGGCCATTTGCACTGGTGTATATGTTTTATTTTAATTTTTGTTTTTAGAGACAGGATTTCACTCTGTCTCCCAGGCAGGGGCACAGTGGCATGATCATAGCTCCTGCAGCCCCAAACTCCTGGGCTCAAGCAATCTTCCCACCTCAGCCCCCCAAGGGCACCCAGATAACTTTTTTTCTTTTGGTAGAGGTGATGATCTCACTGTGTTGCCCAGACACAGCATACTTAGAGTCAGCTTAAGGTCGCAAAACATGGTTTGGGATATTGGCATTGCATTGAACCTGACTGCTGTTCCTTGAGCAATGTGTCTTTTCCCTTGGCTTCTTTCAAGGTCTTCTCCCTGCCTTGGTGTCCGGCAAGTGTTTGGGCGAATTTCTTCTCACTTCTCCGGTGTGGACTTCCCGAGGCTTCCTGAGTCTGCCCTGGCGGTCATTCACCTTTTCTGCGCACATTTTTGGTTCTGTAATAAACGTGGGCCTTCTGATCATTCAGCCTTTTGGAGCTGCTGGGTAGTCTGTTGCTGCTGGAGGTTCTCCCACGCGTGCTCGTTTTCTTTGGTTACTTGCTCATTCTTAGAATTTTAGCTACTGGGTGTCTTTGCTGTTTGGGCTGAGAACTGGTATCTTGGAGGAGAGTTTGTATTTGCTGTGGCCAGGCACCTGCGCATCAAGGTCACTCTAAACTCTGGAGACTTTTCTGGGGACTTACCTTGGGTCGTGTGAATTTGGTCTGCAAGCTGGGTCCAGAGCTGGCTCATGGTTCCCACTCCTCTGTGGCAGTTTCTGCCCCAACCGCTTGGGGCTGTGTATCAAAGCAGTTGATTTTCTTGTAATCAGTTGAGACAGATGGGGAAGGCGTGCCGGGGTAGGTTTATTTCTGGGTCTCCCTTACAGTGAAGTCTTGGTTTGTAGGTCAGAGGCTCTGTCTCTTTAGATGGGCTCTGAATTTTGTCTTTCATTTCCTGATTGGGCCCATGGTAGGGGGAGGGCAACAATACCAGGTGACGTGGTGTGGCAGGTCCTTTGGGAGGCAAAACAGGCTGCTGTGTTCTGTGTGTGCCCTGAGTTTCTTGCTTGAATTCAGATCTGGAATTCCTTTCTTCCTTGCTCCTTGAAATATCATGTGTCAGTGCTTCTATTCCATTTTCATGCGGTTCCTAACTAGAACAATAAAACAGGAAAAGAAAATAATGAAAAACAAAATGGCCACTTGCGATTTATAATTATTGTCTGCCTAGAAACCCAAGAGCGCGGCACTGACTTGTTCAACCTGCGGGCAGCAGGTGGAGGTGGGGGCTCCGCTTCTGCACGTCTGGAGGAGAAGCTGTGGCCTAGAGGGCTCAGTGTGGCCAGGGTCACACAGTGGATTTGAGGCAGAGCCAGGAGCAGCCCCAGGCCCACTGCCTGCCTGTCCTGAGCTCTCGACTGTGTCTCCTGGGAGCCAGCTAGAAGGGACAGAGCTTCCTCACCCCACTGTCCCAAGGCGAGTGCTCGCCCACACACAAGCCTTTGGTGGTCACCCACTTCTATCCCCTGGTTCTTTCTCGCTAAGCTTTAGCCCCTTCCCCTGGTCTGCTTTAAGGGTGGCAGCACCTACAGCTCTGCTCTCTCACCAGGGCCTGACACACGTGCCCTGTGGAGATGCCAATGAATGGGGAGCACAAACAGGTGAACCTAAACAAGACCTTGTGCGTGTGGTGCTGACACTCCCCTTTTATCTGCAGGGGGAGATGAGCGCACCCTCAGGCCCAGCAGGACCCCAAGGGTGCTCACCTGTGTCCCCTGGAAGACAGGGACAAGAACGTGCAGAGGAGCACTTTCGGGATCATAAAATGTGCAAGGCTACCTGGACGGTTGTGGGTAGGAGCCCAGGTGGAGAAACTGATGTATTGTACGGTGGCACACCGCACAGGAGTGGAACTGAGTGACAGTGGCTGCTGGTATCGACTGGAGCTGGCATGGGAGCTCCTTCCGGCAGTGTGAAGCCTCAGAGCCAGCCACTTGGTATGCACAAAGGACATCAGGCCACAACTCGGAATGTGTCACAGGCGAGGGTTGCTCTGGTTGGGAGGAGGGCTTGGGGAAGAGGCGGTGCACTGTGGCCAGTGCGCTGGAGCTGAGTGGCGGGGAGGGAGTTCTTGGTCATCCTTGACCCCTTTTTGTGTGTCTGAAATATTTCGTTGTAAAAGCAAACACATGGAAAGAAAAATGATCAAATAATAAATGGATCTGTTAAAAAACAAACTGAAAATGAAGTCCCGCCTCCCTTTTAGATTCTATGCTGCTCTTATTCACTCCCTTATTACTTATCTGCCAGCTCAATGTATCTTACATTCTATATGCAACGCAGCTTATAGCAAATGTCCTTAAGAGAAAATACGCTGAGGGAGCTGTGTGTTGTGAGAGAAGGAACTCACCTTCTTGCTGTGAAGTCGCCATGTCTCGCAAGCCCTCTTCTTCGGGTCTTAGATGCCCAGCTCCTTGGGTACGTCTGCATGTCAAGGTGCTGCCGCGGGACAGGGCAACTACGTGCAGCCAGCGCAGCTTGGCTGGTGATGGGTGCTTCTGCCCACCCGTCTTTCAGAGCGTGTTGTCATCATGTTTAAAAGTAAAATAAATGAGCTGGGTGTGGTGGCTCACGCCTGTCATCCCAGCACTTTGGGAGGAGGAAACAAGAGGAGTGCCTGAGCCCAGAGGTTCAAGACCAGCCTGGACAACTTGTCATACCTCGTCTCTACAGTAAATCAAAAAAATTAGCCAAGCGTGGTGGCGCGTGCCTGTAGTTCCAGCTACTTGGAAGGCTGAGGCAGAAGGATCGCCTGAGCCCAGCAGTTCGAGGCTGCGGTGGCCATGTACTCAAGCCCGGGTGACAGAGTGAGACTCCAACTCAGAAAATACATTAAATGAATTGTTCACCAAAGAATTATTTTAAGAAACCTGAAAGTTTAATAGTTGCATCACTTTTAACGTTTTCCTTTCATTTTAATTCAAAGTTTTGTTTTTTTAAACTTAGTATTATATATGTTTTATGGACCAGATTTTGGATTTGTAATTTTTTTTTTTTTTTGAGTCAGAGTCTCACTCTGTTGCCCAGGCTGGAGTGCAGTGGCATGCTCACAGTCTCCCCAGAGTTAACCTGCTGGGCTCCAGTGATCCTTTTGCCTCAGCCTTCCAAGTAGTTGGAAGTACAGGCACGTGCTACCACGCCCAGCTAATTTTTGATTTATTGTGGAGTCAAAGTCTCACCAAGTTGCCTGGGCGGGTCTTGAACCCACCAGCTCAGGCAATTCACTTGCCTTGGCCTCCCAAAGTGCTGGGATGACAGGCTGAGCCGTCGAGCCCAGCCTAAATTTGTGAGTTTTTAAAAACTTTTTTTCAAAAGGGAAGCAGCGTAACACTAAACAGTATCTTTCCAGATACGAGTGATGTTTTTGCAGACTTACGGGTTCTTAATTGTCCATTGTCTTCTGAACCGAATTTTTAATTTCATTTTCTCTCTCCTAGGGAATGAAGGATGGCAGCACGCCGTGCACTGAAAGCTGTTTTGGTGGATCTCAGTGGCACACTTCACGTTGAAGATGCAGCTGTGCCAGGCGCACAGGAAGCTCTTAAAAGGCAAGCTATCTTCCAGGTTCAGCTGACAAATATGTTTGTTAGTGCCATTTTACCAAAGCAGGTCGTTAGCTGAATGGGCAGCCTGATGCTGGCATCTCACCAGCTCACCATACAGCCAGGAGCCCAGGAGCTGCATTAGGCTTATAGAAGATGAGTGCCCTGGAGTATTCTCCAGATATGTTCTCTGAGTCTTTGTTAGGTTTGGCTTTTAGATCTGGTCTTTTTGTTCTTTGTGTACGTATGTCTTTTTCCAGGTCAGTAATGTAGATTTGGAAATGAAAACTCAAGATTCTAAAATGTGGAGTGAATAACATTGGAAAAATCACAGTTGAGTCCTGAAATCACAAAATAAAACACACACCCACAGGCATAGTGCTTCCCCCTTCTGCTTCACCTAAAATCTGGCATTGAACGCATTACTGCTCAAATAAAGTTTAATTAAAGGACTTGGAATTTTACTAAATGTGATGCTTTTTTTTTGAGTCGGCGTCTCACTTTGTCGCCCAGGCTGGAGTGCAGTAGCACACTCACGGCCACCCCAACGTCGACCTGCTGGGCTCCAGCGATCTTTCTGCCTCAGCCTTGCAAGTAACTGGAACCACAGGCTTGTGCCACCATGCCTGGCTGAGTTTTGATGTATTGTAGAGACAAGATCCTGCCAAGTTGCCCAGGCTGAACTCAAACCCACGGGCTCAGGCAGTCCATTCACCTCGGCCTCCCAAAGTGCTGGGATTTCAGGCTGAGCCACCGAGCCTGACCAATGTAGTGCTTTCAAAGATTAGGGACTGTCATATTTCTCTGCAGCAGCCACAGTACTAAACATAAGTCTGGATACAGACAGGATACCCAGCAAAAGTGTGTTCGAGGGACCTGAATGTCAGTGTTGGCTTCCGACCGTCCTGAAAAAAAATACTTAACAGAACTAATAACTAGTTTTAAGCCTCTTTGTCCTAGGACAATTTAGGAAAGTTTTCAAAATGAGCAGTGCGCAGGCTATGGTACTTATCATTTGTCAACCTGAAGATGCTGGTAACGGGCTGTTTTTTGGGAAGTCTGGTGACTAGTAAGTAGCACAGTGCCAGATGTTGAGATGGAAGACAGATGCAGACTTCACACTTTTTTAAGGAGCTTACATTCCATTTGGCGAATCAAGAAATACAGATTTGTGTGTCTGTTAGGCATCAGTCAGGAGCTGTCCATGTAGTTGGGAGACACAGTATTCCTTTTGTTAGTGGAAAAATGGTGGACAACATACTAATGAACGCCAGAAGAGAGCCAGTGACACAGGTGGGCTCTCTCTTGACTCCTTGATACTGTCTCTCTCTGAGCTGGACAAAGACATCTATTACCAGTAAGCTGTCAGACAGAGCTCTTACTGCTTTAAAGACAGGAATTCTACTCTGGAATGAAAGAAAAGTCCTTCTGTTTCTGGTGAACAGTGGCATCTCTGGGTAGCTTGGTAAGCCATGAGCTGCCTTTCTGGAGTGGGAAGAGATATGGGTTATCTGTTGCTGACATCAGCAGAGTCTCATCCCAGAGAAGTCTCTACACCAGTGCTGTCAACTTCAGTTTTTATAGAAACAAATGGACCACGAGAGGATGAGGGACTAGTAAGACAAAAATTTTAAAAACTCATTAAAAAGGATGGGATTTTTCCAGTACTTGTTCATTTTTAGGATCATAGTTATGTTCATGTGATCAACTTATCGAGAGAGAGAAACCACCAAATTTAACGTTTTGCAGAAAAGTAGGTAGTCAGGATTACAGTTAACTTTTTAACCATATAAATGTACTTATTCCTTGGGTGAATACTTTAAGATCTCTTTTCTGTTGCATTTGCTTGTTTTATTTATTTTTTAGAGACAGGGTCTATTCTCACCCAGGCTAGAGTGCAGTGATACAATCATGACTCACCACAGCCTTGAACTTCTGGGCTCAGGCTATCCTCCCACCTCATCCTCATGAGTAGCTAGGACTACAGGCACACATGAGGTTCTCACTATGTTGCCCAGGCTTGTTTTGAACTCCTGGCCTCAAGTGAACTTCCTATCTCAACCTCCCAAAGTGCTGGGATTACAAGCATGACCCAGTCTGCTTGCTTTTTTAAAATTGTGGTTAGTGGTTTTGTTATGCCTTGTGGCCTTTTTGGGATAAGCATAAAATAAAAAGCAATAGGGTATTAATATAAAATTATAAATTGTAGCTACACTAACATTATTGTAAAATTTTGGATTAAAACACTGTGGGACCAAGAAAATAGTTTTCATTTTTAAAGAAGGCTAGACTCTCAAGGATTCTTTCTCTGATAGCAGATTGCTAGTTTAAGTTTTAAAAGCAGATCATGGAATCAAGTGGTAAATCATGTGGTAAATAGTTTGAGTGGTGAACACATTTTAGCCTGTGCAAGTGAGATGCTGCTTTGAGCTGTCCAGGTAGCTTCTGCTTACAGATTTGATAACACGTTAGGGAGTAGCCAGTCTCTAAAAACACCCGGAGATTTCTTCTGTTTCCTTAGCACAGGAGATCAAATGCTGTCCCAGGACACAGAACAGAGTCCTTTCCTTGCTCCACTGCTGCCCAGTGGAGCCGGCTTGTCACTTACCTCCTCCAGGCCTCAGGTTTCTCATCTTTGAGAAGAGAGGGCTTTTATTGCCAGCAGGCAGTCGCTAAGATAATGTCACTTACCTCCTCCAGGCCTCAGGTTTCTCATCTTTGAGAAGAGAGGGCTCTTATTGCCAGCAGGCAGTAGCTAAGATAATGTCCATCTCATGTCGTGGGAGCACAGTGGTTTTGAAGCTTTGTTTTTCATGTCTTTATCAAACTCTGCAGTAAAATGCAGTTGAAGTATCAAAGGACTCAGTAAAGGTAAACAGCTTTCACATTGACTTTGTGGCCTTTGGAGGTGAAGCTGCCCACAGGGTGTGGATAATTTGTAAGCAATTCTGGATAGGTTTTTTTGTTTTGTTTTTTAAGCTTTTGACCATACAAACACTTGCTCTTGATTAACCTTCATTCCAACAGTTGGCACAGTTCTTCCAAATTAGGTTTATGGAGCCAGAATGTAAAAGCTGCCTGCTAACTCCTGAATCTCACCTCTTCAGGTTACGAAGCGCTCCTGTGGTGGTTAGGTTTGTGACCAATACAACCAAAGAGAGCAAGCAAGACCTGTTGGGAAGGTTGAGAAAGCTGGAGTTTGACATCTCTGAAGATGAAATATTCACCTCTCTGACTGCAGCCAGAAGTTTAGTAGAGCAGAAGCAAGTCAGACCCATGCTGCTGGTTGATGATCGTGCACTACCTGATTTCCAAGGTGGGGGATATTTGGGAAGATCTAAAAATTGGATCATATCTACTTATACATCATTCTATAAACCGGTTGCTGAGAGGTGTTTGTTCTGATTTCTCACTGTTATTATTGAAATGGTTGACAAAACTGATAGAGTTTGAATCGGTGTTTCTCAATCCACAATAAGTGAAACACATTATGTAGAAACCCAGTACACATATATGTGCGTTCATGTAGTTGGAGTGCTTACTTTTACTGTGTAAGGTGTATTCTGTTTTCTGTTTAAGATGTATTCTGTTTAATTAATTGGTAGTTTGGTTTAATGCTGCTTAGAGCCCTGTAAATTAGTCCAATCTACTAAGAGATCGTGACCCATGGCTTGAAAAAACACTGGTTAAAATTACTTTGAATATTATAAACCTCAAACCAGGAGCCACTGTTTTAGCTCGATTAAATGTTATAAGCCATGATCTCCTTTTTTTTTTTTTTTTGAGTTGGAGTCTCACTCCGTCGGCCAGACTGGAGTGCAGTGGCATGCTCCCAGCCACCGCAGCCTCGACCCACTGGGCTCCAGTGATCCTTCCGCCTCAACCTTCCAAGTAACTGGAATTACAGATGTGCGCTACCACGCCCGGCTAATTTTTGATTTATTGTAGAGATGAGATCTCACCAGGTTGCCCAGGCAGGTCTTGAATCTGCAGGCTCAGGCAATCCACTCACCTCGGCCTCCCAAAGCGCTGGGATTACAGGCTGAGCTACCAAGCCTGGCCAACATCAGAGTTTTATGACACTTTGTCATGCTGTTTCTTTTTGTGGATGATTCTCAAAGTGAAATGACACAGTATGGAAAAATGAGCATGAGTGCATTTGTTGTAAAACCTTGCAACGGCTTTACAGATGATGAGAGAAGTTCAGCATGGTAGACAGTGGGTGGGCCCTCGGAACTTGTACTGACGGGCAGTGGACCAGTGTACCAATCAGAGTTACTCTTTGTAAGAAACAAAAACCAACTTTGACTGAATTTTAAAGAATATAAGTATACTAGAAGGATCTGAGTGCTGACAGGGATATGAAGTGACCTGGCACCTGTGGAGAGGAATTTGGCAGTAGCTAACAAAATTACAGTCTATCTCTAAAATATAGGTACAGAACACACACTAACATATGAGCAAGGTTACTCATTGTAGTTTTATTTGTAATAGCAGAAGGTTGGAAACAACCTAGATGCTTGTCGGAAGGACTGACTGAGTAAACTTGCATGTCCACACGGTGGTGTGCTTTGTAGCTGAAAACCAAGTCATGGCAAAGAGCTCTGTGTCTTGCTAAGATGCAGTCTTCATGGACATAGTAAAAAGAGTCAGATGTGGAAACCTCACGTGTTTGCTGTGTAGGAAAATGAGAAGGAAATAGACATGCCTGTGTATTTGTCTTACATTTGTAAAAGGAAGCCAAAGAAGCATAAGTGAAAAACTAATAGAGATGGTCATGCAACCAGAAGTGAGAGAAGAGGGGCAAGATCGAGAGGAGAGGTGCTTCTAAAAATTCCTGTTTGGAAATATTTTACATAGTTAGAAGACAGTTAAAAATTGAAAAGCCAGTTCCTAAAAACTAAAAATAAATAGAAACAGACCTAACTCTGTATCAGGTTGCTGATATAACCACTCAGAAAATAATTACTTCACTGGACTCTAAAATGCAGTATTTTGACCTATTCATTCATAGTGGGACGATCTAACTACAAAGAGGTCCCTTGAGTTGGAGTCTCACTCTGTCGCCCAGGTTGGAGTGCAAAAAAAAAAAAAAAAAAAAGAGGTCCCAAGCTGCATTCTGTAATCTGTCAGTAGTAAATAATATTGGCATTATTTTTAAAATTATAGACATGTTATAGGATAAAGCAAAGTAGTAACTGTTGGTATTGTTAGGGCCCAAGATTTTAAATGCCATTGAAAAGAGCTACAAATATAAAAATCAGTTAAGTAAAAACTGCTTATTGCTAATTTTGAATTGAAAATGTCACGACCAGCTCCTTTTTCTCTTAATCTCCCGCTGAAAGGCCTAAAGAGAAGTAGCAGCAGCCTGTGCTCGGCTGAACTGTCTCCTGCCATTTCCCAGCATAGTTCCTTGGAGAAATTGCCGAGTCCAGATCTAGGCAGGTGCTATATGAGATGAGTCTAGAATAGCTCCTTGTGTTAGCAGGGACGCTACTGAGGATGGGTGAAGTCCTGTCTTAGGACCCTGGAGCCTACCTGAAGGGATCATTTAAGATAAAAAAGGCTGATGAAGCTGGGTGCTTGTGCTTGCATACCCAGCTACTTAGGAGACTGAAGTGGGAGGATCACGTGGGCCCAGGAGTTTGAGGCTGCTGTATGCTGTGATGACACCTGTGAATAGCCATTGGACTCCAGCCTGAGCAACATAGTGAGACCCTGTCTCTTTAAAAAAAAAAGAATAGTGATTGCAGTGGATCAAAGCACACCATTTATATAAAAAACCATGAATTAAAAGAGATACTCAACTCCATGAAGCTCATTGGTCACTACTGGAAGTTGCTAGGGCTTCTTATTACTCTGAAAATTAATAAATTAAGAGAGTGAAACAAGCATTTATCTTGCTTTTTTGTGTTTGAACTGCATTTTCAGGTAACCAAATATTTGATGAGGAGAAGTTATTTCTTTTTTTTTTTTTGAGTTGGAGTCTCATTCCTTTGTCCAGGCTGGAGTGCAGTAGCATACTCACCGCCACCCCAGCATTGATCTTCTGGGCTCTGGCAATCTTGCCTCAGCCTTCTAAGTAGCCAGATCTACAGGCACATGCTACCATGTCCAGCTAATTTTTGATTTATTGTAGAGACGAGTTCTCACCAGGTTGCCCAGGCTGGTCTCGAATCTACTCGCTTTGGCCTCCCAAAATGCTAGGATTACAGGCTGAGCCACTGAACCCAGCCAGGAAGTTCTTTATAGAGTAATTTCAGCTAGGAGATGCAAAAGGAATAATAGAATTAGAAAATCACCACCTGGCAAGCCCTAATGAAATAGGCAATGGCATCAATAGATTTAAAAAACATTCGGTGACATGCTGATGCGGAACTTCAAAACGGAGAGGTCAGACCAATGTCATGGGAGCCCACTGATGATCTTAGTGTCACTAGAAGTGGAGTAACCAGAGCTTGAGTGCTTTCTGATGTGATATAATAGAAAAACTGTGGAGTTGCTTATGACAAAGTTGCCTAAAAACTGGATGAAACCTGTGACACTCTAGATCTAATTTCCAGTTTACAGGGAAAATAGGGACAAGGAACAAATGAAATGATACTACACACCAAAGGCCAATCTGGGGCACGGGCCTTCTGCAGGATTAATGGTCTGATCACACCAGTGGGGGGGAGGAGTGAAGTTAGAGAAGAAGGAGTAAGAGACAACAACCAGGTGCATATACAGGCCACACTGGGACGTCTTTCAACATCCCAGATGGAAAGGCATGTTAAGGCATTTGGGGACATCAAATGTGGGTTCAGTTTTGAGCGGTGGTGAAGAATTACTAAACTTTGTTGGTATAATAATGTTAGGGGTAGAAAGTCCTTATCAGATACATCCTGAAATTTGAAGAGCTGAAATGACGTGAAGTCTGAGATTTGCTTTAAAACGGCTTCAAAAGGTGTAGGGGTAACAGGCAAGGTTGGCAAGATGCAGGTGATGTGAATGCTGACGATTGGGATGTCAGGGCTCGGGAGACCACTCTCTCTAACCTTCGTGTGCTTTTGAAAACCTCCATGAGAAGAAGCCGGAAAGGGCTGTTGGGGAGCCCACAGAATTGCCAGCGCCTGCTGGAGTGTTAGTCTGGGGGACTGCGTGACGTCACCCACACACTCACCTGGGCCACACAGGTCCCTGCTGAGTGGTGGCTTCATCCACCCTTTGGTGGCACCGCCGCCTGCTGCCTGGGATCTGACAGAGCAGAAGTCTTCAGAGGAGGTGCTCCCTGTGCTCTGTTACCAGCTCCGAACTCCAAGCCCCTTGTGGGGGCTCCCGATGGACAGAGCCACAGTCTTATGCCAGCACCCCTGGTGGCGAGGGAGGCCGGAACGGGATCGGTGTTCTCAGCCTCTGTCGTGAGGGGCTGAGCTCTGCCTCTCAGCAAGCCACGGAGCTAGTAAATTCCCCGATGATGACAGTGGTCTGCAGAAACTGGGCAAGTGATAATAGAGAAGGACAGATGCATTCTGTCCTCAGGGTATTTCTGGGTTTGGGTTTAATCAGACTTTTCTTTTTTCTGACTTTGAGGAATGTTAAGATTCTAGCTGTTTCAGCAGTGAACTGGAGTTGGGAGAAATCTTTGTCATTCAGTCTAGGGCTATCTTTGCAACATCTTTATATACGTGAAAATTCCCAGGGTAGTTGGTTTTTGAAGGGAATGGAAATATCTTTGCTAGTATTGAATATCATTGCTAGAGGTAGATACATCCAATAACTTTGACTTCTATCATAACCAACAATTTTATTTTCTTGTTTCAACAAACTTGAACCAGTTACTCGATGCTAGTGGCTCCTGATAAGGAGGAAATTGGAAAGCCTGGACATCTGCAGGCAATCAGAGAGGCAAATAGGAATCTGCATTTCGCCATTTCCAGCTTCAGATGCTTTCCTGATTATAGTCAGCAAGAACGGCCGTGAGTTCCTGATGAGCTGTCAGATCATAGTACACAGGAGAAGCCATGGAACCGTGCTCAGCCTCTTAACAGTAGTGGAGGATGGACTTATCTGTCATGACCGAAGTCCTGTGAAAGATTTCCAGGCCTTAAAACACACCTTAACAATAACATGTTCGTGAAAAAGTAGATTAGGCATTGTGCAGAAAACTGTGGGCCCTGCAGTGCATTTTATATTTATCATGAATGTGCCAACCTGAGCTGTGTCGATTAGAAAGTCTAATTTCCCTGCTTGTTAGAGTCTCAGGCCCTCATCAGCTGCTATCGATCTCTGACAGCTGGCAGGGAACTCATGACTTTCTTGTTGATTGTAATCAGTAAGGCATTTTGAAGTTAGAAATTGTTACTTGTTTGAGAACATCAATTTTCAATTCAGAGCTTCTAGTTACTGAGTAACTATAAGACCATGCACAAGGAATATCGAAAATATTAGGAGAGTTTCTCTTTCCCTGACCCCAAACCCCCACTCTCCCCACCCTTTCCTTTCTCCTTCCCTCTCTCCCCTCCCCCCCCCCATACTTTCAAAGAACATTGGGCAGGATAATCTCTTTCATTTTAGTGTATGGCTACAACAAAAATTTAGACTTATTTGACCAAAACTACTTTTTATAAAATGTGACATTGCTTTTAATCACAGTTTCAGCAATTATATTTTTTTTTCCATTTTCAGGAATACAAACAAGTGACCCTAATGCTGTGGTCATAGGATTGGCGCCTGAACATTTTCACTATCAAGTTTTGAATCAAGCATTCCGGTAAATCTCGCTGTTTGTTTTTCATCTGCTCATGTGCCTCCCTTGCTCCCTTCTTTGTGCTTCAGCATGGGTGGTTATATGTGTTTTACTTTCTGGCCACCTAGACTATTCGTGCAGACAGATGTCTTCAAGGTCACCTCAAGATCGGCATCCAATCGTATTTATCTGTCTTGACTTTCTTGGTGTGTCATAATCCATATGTTAAAATGTGATGATCGTTGGGGTTTTTCTGGTTTATAGAATCAATATTCTGGAGCAGCAGTTCATAATAAAATAGCCAGCCACTCTGAAAGCAGGCATTTTATCTTAATTCTCACTCCTGTGATTCTCTACTATGTTAATCTCTGGAGGAGAATAGCATCCAGGCAAATCCACCAACACAATAAATGTGATTCTCCCTCCAGTGAGAATCCATGATGTGGGAGAGTCGACACATTTGCTGTACTTTCGAAGACATTGTTGGAGGAGGATGAGGGTGGTCCAGACTGGACAGTGACAGTGGGGATGAAGAAAAGTAGACTTGGGTGGCACCAACATGTCTTGCTGAACTGTGAACTTGGGGTGAGAAGAAGAGCAAGTCAGGAGAACTCCCCGACTTCCAGCTGAGCACACAGGATAGAGAACAGTGTGAGGATGCGGGTTCATGTGGGCTGTCTGCCTGTGGGATGCCAGGGGAGATGTGCCAGGGCGGTTGGTAGAAATGCAGCCAGGACGTGAGGGCTACAAGTCCTTGGTTAGCATGCAAGGTGAAGAGTCGGGGTCACATAGAGCTGTTGGCAGAAATGCAGCCAGTGCCTGGTGGTTACAAGTCCTCAGTGTGTATGTGCAGTTCACACTCATGAACTTTTTGCTGCTGCTTCTAGAAGGAAGACTGAAGATGTCCCTGTTTTCATATTTCCCAAGATATGTTGGGTCAGAATTTACCTGCACATCTGCTCTAGAGTGAGACTGACTTTTCTCTTGGGTTTTTCTTGTCAGATCACTAAACAGTACAATTTACCTTTGAATTTGTGACAAGTAAATGGTTCAAAATGTTGCATAGAGATATATTGAACTAGCTTTTTGTAAAAAAAAAAAAATACACACATATTATTAATGAACTGGTAAATTTTTTTGCGTTTAATGAAACAAAAAAAGACACTTTCCTTACCAATGCAAGGATCTATAAGAACCACTCTGACTTACACTTTATAGAGAACTTATTTCTTGATGTGTATATTCTAGAATCAGAGTGTTTGTAGGCAGCTTCAAAACTCACTAACAGGTTCACACATCCGGCTGGGCACATCATTTGCTGTCGATCTTGAAAATGGCTGTCCTCGTGTAGAATGTATGTGGCCAGAAATAGCACTTGAGAACAGCCACCTTTTGCCCTGTGTGCACATTAATTTCAGATCCTCGGTTAGTGGAAACCACAGCTACTTAATGCACTGTTATTTATGACTCTTAGTCCCTGTGATAGTCAAGCCTTTGTTTCACAGGGACAGACTCACTTTGTGCCATTGCTCGGTCGGTGTATGTTGACTGTAGTTACGTCCCAGGCATCCTCCGTCAGGCCAGATTGCGTGAAGGCGTACTTCAGTGTGTGTGATACCAAAGTTTGTTTGCTTTACCTACTTCAGTTATCCCACTGTAGCTTGGGGGCAGTAGTTTTCCCACCTGCTTCTCAAGTGAGCGCTGCAGCTACACCCACATCAGTTTTCGTTTGAGAGGGAGAACTGGCTATTCTTACTTCCGAATCTCCCCCTGCTACTCTTCATTCATTTCCCTAACCACAGAATTCAAGGAGAAGGTATTGATTGATTTTAGCTGGTAATTTGGAAAGGACATATTTAATAGGAAGTTGAGAGGTCTCTGCCGTAGATGAATCCTAGACTCAGGGTAATAAAAATGTATGTTGACATAATACTGACTTTGTAATTGCTCGGATGCTGTCTAATTAGTACGCTTTCCTAACCGTATTGATTTTTTAAACACTGTGTTTTAAAGCATTACGGTGCACTTGTGGGTCAGCTCTAATTTCACAGATGCACTTACCAGCTGAGAGGAGAGTTGACAGGGGATTTGGGTCTCGCCCCCTCTTTGCATATTGATGTCTCCACTGAGACTGCCTTCCAGCCAGCGCCTGCAGCTGTTTGGATTGTGTGTGGCAAATACAGACATCTCAAGTGAACCACTGATGAGTGAAATTACTGTTTAGGTTGAAGATGAGAATGGATGCTGGATGTGAGAGACATTGTATGACTGTCTTGAATGCCAGGATCAGGGGCATGCTGCACTGAGGCAGACACGTGAGACGTCACATGGCACTGCATCTTACTTACTGTACTTTTGACAGGTAGGGCCTCTCAGAATGTGTTGCACAGGCTTTCTGCAAATAGGTTTTAAATGCCTGGATGGAATTGAGAATGGAGTTTAAAGAAATGATTTGGGGGAATCAGCTATTGGGAATAAACATGATTTGATTATGAATTTTAGAAAGCATTCAAATCCTAAGAGTCAGCACTGAAAGACAGACAGAATAATATAATGAACACTCGTATGCCTCCCAACCGTTTTCAGAAATAGAAGCTGTCAACGCACTTGATACCCCTTACACATCCCTTCCCAGTTTTATCACCCAGGACCAACAGGGAATCAGGGTTTTGAATTCAGGGTTATCATCTTCATGTGATTCTGCATACTTAGAACTGTGGGTAGCTGTTCCTAAGCAATATAGACTATTATGTTGTGTGTTGGCTGCTGTGCGTACTCATCAATCTGCTCTCTTCCCCAGCAGTGCCGCGGATTCATCAGTATGAGTGAGTAGCCATTGCTCTGGTTCATTGGTTTTCACAGCAGTATCACTACCTTGTAGTAAGGTTTTCTTTGTCTTCATACCTGAGTTAGAAACCCGAAATGTGAGCATTTAAGTAATAGACCAATCGTAATTGAATTTGATGATCAATAACAGGAAGAAGACAAAACATCACTTAGTCTAATCTGAACTTAGTATTAATAAGACTAAAAAATACCTAATCACAGAATTAGCATGTCTTCATTGGGGAAAAATGTAAATGCTCAAAAAAGAATAAATTAGAAATTGCTTGTGATCTTGCCCCTAAATAGAGCCACAGTGAGCATTTTAGCACATAGTTAGTTTCTTTGTTTCTATGTACACACATGTTTATTCAAAAATTAGAATATAAATATATGTGTCATAACGTGCTTTTTAAAAACCCCAGTATACCCACATAACAAACCTGTACATGAACTCCTTGAATCCGAAATAAACTTTTAAAAAAAGAATTAGGCAGATTTGTGGACGCTGAATCAAAATGTTTAATAAAAACTGAAAAGTTAGAAAACCCAACGATATATCATGCATGTTTTTCCATATTTATAAATATCCTAAAACACGAGTGATTCCTATAGCATGTTCCATTTCCAGAAGCACGGTCACCTGCTTAGCCATGGTACTTCTGTTGCTAGTTATTCTGTTTTTGAAGTTAGTTTTAAAAGTCTACTGAGAACATGTTTGTTGAGCAGTATTTGTTTTCCTTATGATGTTTTTTGAAAGTGTAGTTGCCAGTGAGGTATTTTGGGGGAAAAGTTGCAAGGAATTGTTTAACCTAGGACAAGTTTGAGGTTTTTTCTGTAAGTTAAGAGCAGTGCTCTCCAGTTCCTGGAAGAGCTTGCTGAATGTCATTGTACCTGAAAATAAATGGTATCACAACTTTCACATTTGAAGATAGGGGTGAAGCCTGTTTAGGAATCATGTTTTAAAGCTTTGTCAATGATGCTCTTCCTATAATTGTTGTAGGGTCCAAGAGTTCTCCAAAAGTCTTAGAGATGCACAGAAATGTTTTTGTTTGTTTTTCGGGAGAAGACTCTTATCATCACAACTGGTTTTTGTTGAATGTTGGATTGCTTACATTTTCCCATTTCCTTCTTAAGAACAAATAACAAGTTTAATTACTCCAATATTTTCAATTCCTTAGTAAAGGGAGAGAAAAAAATCAATAATATTGACCTCAGTTATTCCTGCATTGTATGGTAACTCCTGAATGTTTTCTGAATAGTTAGAGCCCTAGGCCTGAGGATTTCCAGAACAGTATAGCAGCAGAGCTCAGATGGGAAATATTTCTGTGCACTTTTTTTATTTTTGAAAGGGTTGACTACTATGCAGTGTTCTTAATTAGTGTCTGGACTATAAATATAAAATGCTTTGGAGATGAAGAATTGCTTAAGACTTTAAGACTTTAAAACTTGAGTTATTTAAAGCATTCCATTAGTACATGTAGGAGAAGAGCTTGATATGCAAATCTGAAAATCAAAGAATCAGAATTGAATTGAGTATCAGAATTGCTGTTGGTATTTTGCAGTTGGAGGATATTCTTTTTTTTTTTAGTTGGAGTCTCACTCTGTCACCTAGACTGGAGTGCAGTGGCCACTCCTGGCCACCGCAGCCTCGACCTGCTGGGCTCTGGCGATCCTTCTGCCTGAGCCTTCCAAGTAGCTGGAACTACAGGCGCGCGCTACCACACCTGGCTAATTTTTTGATTTATTGTAGAGATGAGGTCTCGCCAAGTTGCCCAGGCGGGTCTCGAACCCGCGGGCTCAGGCAATCCACTCACCTCAGCCTCCCAAAGCGTGGGATTACAGGCTGAGCCCCTGAGCCCGGCTGGATATTTTTATGGTCAAGGCTCTTGCTACTCTAAATAAGATGTTCGCATGAATAAGCCATGCAAATATGCTGTTACTGATTTTTCTACACTAAGGTATAATGTGTACAGTAAGGTACACACATTGTAAGTGTGTACCTCAGGGCAGGTTTGCATGTGGGTATGCCTGGTGACCCCTGCTCTGTGATCAAAACCACTCTCTCCCTGTGACGCCATTCTCCCCACTGCTCTGACCACTGCTCTGACTTCTTTTGCTCTTGCCAGATCCTGATCTTCAGACAAATGAAAGCTTACAACTGTGGCATTAGTTTGTCTGCTTTGAGATTTATCCAGGTT